ACTTTAACAGAGGAAGACTCTTTAGACTTTTTAAACTTTTTAGACTGAACTCAGCTCAGAAACACTGAAGAACCAGAACTGGACCAGAGCCCAAATCCAGGAATCAGAGGTTCAGTGAATGTGGTGTTGAAGGTGTGGAGGTGAATCAGTGAGTCAGAGGAAACATTGTAGAAAGACAGAATGCCAGCAGGCCAGTCCACATACACTGCTACTCTGCTGAAGACAGAGGAGGAGGGCAGATATGTTCTCATGTTATCGTGCCTGACAAAGTGACCATCATTAGAGCAGTACAGACACCAGGAGTGATCGTTCTCTCCAAACACACAATCTCTACTCTCTCCTTTCCTCCTGATTCCTCTGTAACTCACTGCTATATCAACTCCTCCTGTCCACTCGACCTCCCAGTAACAGCGACCAGTCAGACCAGTTCCACACAGGACATTGTGATGATGATCAAATCTGTCTGGATGATCAGGATATGACTGACACTCCTTCACACGTGTCACCTTCCTGTTGTCTTCACAAACTTTGAGGTATTGATTCATTGAGTTTGTGTCGATGGTGAGTTGACAGGAATCTGATGGAGAGAACAACAACCAGTATTGATCATTTATTGATCTTTGATGACTCCTGAATGACAGTTTGAGCTGCTTTGTTGTCATGAATCAGATGAAAACACACTTACACTTCCTCAGACCTGGTGTCAACCATCGGCCTCCAGCAGGCTCCACCCTGAAAGGAGGAGGGGGTCAGACCATCAGCCTCTTTCAGCAGCAAACATGGACATTACATGTAACACACACTGTCCTCCACTGAGACAGTCCAACATTTGGACACGTCCACTTGTCGTATAAAGCTGGACTATGACGATAATGATGATGAAAACTGCAGTGGATGTAGGAAGGACAGTTGGTGCTGCTGCAGCTCCAACAGAGAGGAGAAAGGAAATCCCTCAGTAACAACCTGAAGAAACTCACTGAAGCCTAAAAGGACATCAGGAAAGATTTCTGGAAGCTCAACCTGATTTAATAATCACCATTAAAATCCAATCAGTCTAAACTCTGATCAACACCTGGATACCTGCTCCATCCACACAGATGAAGGAATGAAACACTAAACAACCTGCTGCTGAAAACCTGCTGTGGCCTCACTGGAATATCCAGAAATACAAACATTAAAAAGGAGAAGCTGCATCACATTCAACAAAGAGTTCAACAAGAACCAAACATTTGATCTCTGAGCTCAGACTCACAAACCAGGGAGAGGCTTCCATCATCACACACCTCCAACCTTTCAGCACTTCCTCTACCAACCAGCACCACCAGGTGGCGCTATACACACTTGTGAGTTTAGTTCAAAATCTTTATTTCTCTCTCTGAACTTTTAAACATCCATCTGACCAACATGGAGTTACTTTTCTCCTCATCTTTGCTCCTTGGGGCTGATTGGTCTGGAGCTCCATCCAACATTGTTTTAAAGTCCTTTCTGTCATCAGTAGATCATCATGGAAATCTAACTGAACTTCACTTTTATTCATTTAGTCAGAGTCCCTATTAAACTCCATTAAATCCATCCCACTCTTTCATTTTCCTTGTGAGCCGTTCTTAGTCAGGAGAATATTCCAGAAAACTGGGTAATGATCTCTGCCTCCAGATGAGGCGTCTAAATATTTAACGATCATACTAAATATTTCTCTTCAAACTAAATGTTTCCCATCAGACTAAAGACGTTTCTCCTCTTCCTCCTCTATCAGACCTTCTCTGCTCCTGCAGCAGGTTCCTCCATACCTGAGAGCTTCCAGTCTCCAGTCTGGATCCTTCAGTCCAGCCGACAGCAGCTTCACTCCTGAGTCTCCTGGATGATTGTAGCTCAGGTCCAACTCTTTCAGATGGGAGGGGTTAAAGGTCAGAGCTGAGGCCAGAGAAGCACAGCCTTCCTCTGAGATCAGACAGCCTGATAAGCTGCAGACACACAATTCATCACATGATGAGAAACGGGAGAATATAGAACTGGTCAGTTTGAAAAGAAAAAGAGACAATGAAAGTGGTACTTAAGTGGTTAATAATAAAAATATAAAGCCGTGTTCTGATTTGTAGATAAAAAAGTGACATTTGACACATTTAAACAGATGATTCTTCACTAGTTTGGATTGAAACTCAACAAACTGACACAATCTCAGAGGACAGCCTGTAATTTTCTTCAAACTGGAACTGAAACACCAAAGATAAACCGATGATCCCGGTGGATCTGTTGATCTTGTGTTTAAAAAGCTTCAGGGTGATTTCACACCTGACAGTCCAACAGGCTCCGTTTGGTTGGGGACCAAAATTACAACATTTGTTACATTTTCAGCTGGTCCAATCCACTTTCACACTGCACTGTCAAATGAACCAAACTCATAGAAAAAATTATGTTCTACAAACAAACAAAGCAATTAGTCCAGTTTTTATCAAAGTTTTAAGAATTACACCAGCTGCAGCGCACAACAGCAATGGGAAAATAATGCTGATAATCGTAAAACAACTTTAAACCACTTATATTCTGCTTTTCCTTGCTCTGTGTTGGCTTTTCTTTACATGCAGACCCGTTGTCATGGCAACCAAAACCAGAGCAGACAGTAT